CTACTTTTTAAGTACCGAAAGACAAGTACTTTGAACTTTTTAAAGAAAGCAATCCCATAGACATCAATACCTTTTCCAATAATCATATGAAACCAAGTACGAAATTTATTCGACAATCGAGGAAGAATTAGAGTCAATCGTCCCTCTGAAGAAAATTATTCTATTTTCTCGGACAGCCAAGCTGCCATTAAATCATTGGTAAGCTCCTCAGCCTCATCAATCATTACTCAAAATTGCCGTATTTCCCTCAACGATCTAGCTATGTGTGCTAACGTTCAGCTTATCTGGGTTCCTGGTCATAGGAATATTGCAGGTAACGGGTAACTGTCGATTTATAACGATTTATAACTTTATATAACTGTATATAACACTCTAGATTTTTTACCAGAATAGCAAGATTACTCTGAAATTAATAGCTGTTTTATATGACTCGGTAAATAATATTTAATTTGATTCGATATATGTATTTATGAAATACGTGTCTACTAAATGTCTACTAACACTACTACAAAAATGTAGGATAACTCTAAAAATGTTACATTTAGTAACAAAATTTGACAGATCGAGAGTAAATCTATATTGTGTCCAGATTTATCAATCGAAAACGCCGTAAGAATAAACGCCGTACATTTTTTTAATGTATATGAAAATTGGAAATATTTATTATATAATAAAAAAAACGATGCAAATTCTAATTAAAAAAGGTCTTTAGTAAAGTAGTAACATTACAATGTGTTATTCGTTATTAATTCTGTTGTTAATGGGTTGCACTGTTACCACGTTACCAAGCTTATTACCCGCAATAGTGAATATTCGGGTTGCAAATAATGTAGCAGTTATAAAATGAAATCAAATAAATAGTTGAGATTTGTTCCTAGTCGCGATGAAAATGTATCTGTTTTCTTAAACGTCTCCGTCCCAATCGTTTGTTTGTATTTTTATGTACAAAACAGATAACAATGTTAAGTATTATTACATTTACATGTGTTCATGCATAAAATTGATGTGGTTTTACTATTATGTTAAGTTGTAATTATTGATTAGAAATTCACAGAAGATGTAAATAATACTATGGTTCATATAAACAATTTTGTTTTATTAGTCTACTACAGTCTTAATCGCGAAATTAACGATTCGTAGCGGTAAAAAATAAAGAAAATAAATAAAGATGGAAACCTATTTTTAAAATGCCAATATGTATTGTAAATGTTAATCACGTTTTGAACCCAAAATATAAAATAGCTGAAAATGCACTTGAAATATAAAATGCCAATGCCAATAACAACAACATTAAAAAATTGTTAGCCCGAAAAAAGGTGAAAAATATGCAAACGCCGGGAATGAGTGCGGCATATTAATAAGTTCCAAATAGTAAAAAATAAAACTAAAACATTTATGCAAAACTACGAAGAAAGTGCATTTGGGGGGAAAACAATTATTTTAAATCGCTGCATAAAATTGAATATATGAGGAACCATGCAGATATATTTAAATGTAAGTTTTTTATTTTTAATTTTTTAATGACTTTTTTCCAAATTGCCCACACGTTTTTGGGTCACATTTTCTCATTTAAAGTCCGCTTAGCTAACAACGCTGTTGCACAGACGCTAGCACTGACTCAACGCTTAGCGCCCATAACTATTTGACCATGCGCACCGCACACAAAGAACGGATCCACAACTTCAAGAAAAAATTTTATTTTCATTTCATGTGCGGTTAGGTTAGTCTCTTGCTATTTTCGTTAAGTCCTCAAAGACACGTAAGAGACGAACACTAAGAAACGCTGAAGAACAGTTTCGGCTTCTTGAGTACGTGGTGGAGCGGCTTCGAATTATTTTGATAGGCGCGTTGGCTTCATTTCTAGAGTTGTTGTTAGTGTAAATTCAAAATTAACCACAAATTTAAATCAGTCAAGACCTCATTTATAATTTTTTATTATTTTATTTTTTGCTTTTTGCTTTTAGTTTTTTGCTTTTTCAAAAAACAAGTTCAATTGTTCTACTTTATAATTTCACTTTTTAATTGTTAGCACAATACTATACTACGCATTGTAAATTATACTTCGGTTGTCAAGTATTTAAATGCATAAGCATATGCGTACTGTATTTTAAGCTGATTACAGTTGTGATATCATGAATATATACATTAGATGCATGTATCTAATTGAATTGATCATTTCAGATTTTATGATTTATTTTGAGTGCCAGCATAGTCAATATTTTCCAACATAAATTACCCGTAATTCTTATGACAATCATAAAATGTTTTTGATCTAAGTACAATTCTAAACTTACAAAATATTTTGTGAAAAAAAAACCAATACCAAAAGTTTTTTTTATAATATGAAAAACACCACAAGTCGTCGCCTAATTGGTGCTTTTTAGGAGCCTAAAATATTTAAAAAAAGTTTGAACCCCTACGCAGTAGGCACCTTGACGTGGTGTAGGGGCTTAGCAACTACTCGGACTATAAAAATTGGATATTCACAATCACCTGGCATCTGTCTGATGACTGCAATATTCATCGCTTTTTTAGAGCGAGGTGTACAACCAAGATCTATCTTTTAGGTTTAAGGTAGTTTGTGTTGTCATGTAGTCTATGTTTTTACGTAGTTGTATTTGTATTTTATGCAGTAGTGTGTTTTATGTAATAGTAGTAGTTTATGTGTAGTTGTATATGAACTGACTGGCATGGTCCGAATGGCTTCTTAACATCTAAACGTCTCGGGGAGTAGGTGGATTTTTACATTTTAGTGCTACTCACTAAGTTCGTGAGTCAATCGATCGGCCTTTATTGGAAGTGTAGTTGTTTGTAGGATTGATGGCCTCAAAGCAGTTAGGTCATGTCTCTGTTGCTTTGAGGTCGCCAACAACTGGGCGATGTAAAGGAAAACACCCTGGGTTTGATTCATAGTATAAATAAACTTTTAACTCTATTCTCTGTCCCTATAGTTTATTTCTTACGTAAGAATATATGGTGTGGTATGCATGTTTGTACGAATGAGACCCGAACAACCCTCTAAACTACGGTGGAACAGCTATGCCTGTAGAGACTTGGTCGCGGAGATAGTGACGACCTTAATAGCAAACTGCGGATACCAGGCGACCTCCGCTTTCAATTAGCCTTTTGTGAGTAAATGGGCTCTACGGACGGTGACCTTATACTTTCCTAACACTCGTGGAATCTTATGGATAACAAAAATAAAATAGTTAAAGGGGATGATGCTACCCTCATCGCATCAAACTCTACTGCTGTCGGGCAGCTACTAAACATCGTCCAGTCGACTGTTGTGTCACAGGACAAAGTACATAATACAGATGATACTGTTGAACACATCTGCGAAAATATACATGCTGTGGAAAATGTCAGTTTTTAACAGTACACTGATGCTAGCAGCACAGAAACTGATGTATCTGATGCTGCCTCCGTTGACATTAATGAAGTTAGTCTATGTTCTGGACAGTCAGGGGCTACCATTGTCAATGTCAACATGAATAAGATCAGCTTACATGACCAGAAGGGTTTTGTAAAACTGTACTCAATGCAGAAGCGGAGATTTAAGGCTTATATGAGCCAAGGACACTCTAGAGATGTGGCGACTGCGATTGCAACTAAATCAAAACTGTGTGTTAAAATGACTGAGAAATCGGAGTTCCCAAAGACATACCTAGGGCGAGGATATTTTCCGAAAAGCTGTGACTTTGAAAACACCAAGGTCCAAGGCTTAAAGCAAGAACTTAAGCACTGCTACAGCGGACTGCAGAAGGTTCTCTATTCCATATCGTTGTTGCTTCTTGGAATATACTGGTCCAGAATGGAGGCAGACGAATAATACAACAAAGGACGGGCGACAAAAAAGGGCAAAAGCTTTTAGAATACTTGAGCAGTAACCACATCAGCATATTGAACAATGGTTCTGAACCTACTTTTATTAATGCCATTAGAAGAGAAGTTCTTGACCTTACTCTTTCTAGCCAATTTATCTCCAATTATGTTGTTAATTGGAGGGTCTCAAAGTAAGTTTCTTCTGACCATCAACTCATTATTTTTGAACTACCGGGTCAGATTATACTTGTAATTCAACAGCCTCACGTAAGCGTATTAGCTGGTAAGTCTTCAGATTATCCTTATCTAGTAAGGAGGACCAATTGCTGAATTCAATCGGTCATATTAATAAACTCGAACTAGCAGCAGGCCAAATGAACTCTGTTATCTCTCAAGCGCATGAAGATGCATGTAAGGGTGAACTCCGTACTTCCACACGGGTTGTGCCATGGTGGGTCAACAGACTTGAAGTAATGCGCAGGGAGGTTAGGACGCTTAATTAATTAATTTAATTTATTAATTTTAATTTAACTAAGCGATCAGGGGTGTGGGTAGACTACAAAATGTCCTTGACCGCATACAACAATGAGATTACAAAATCTAAACGGAAGTCATGGAAAACTTTCTGTGATAGTGTTGAAAACACTCCGTCTCCGAAAGAGTGATGGTCTCTTCACAGCGAATTTCGCGGAAAGTTTGCCACATTTACTACGTGTGCACTTTCCCGGTTCGATCTTATGTGATTCATCCATGGATAGGCGCACGTTAAGATATGAACAACCAGATAGTCGATTAAAGTCCTTCTCTGGTATCATATTCGACATCGATAAATTAAGATGGGCAGTAAATTCTTTCAGTCCCTTCAAGTCCCCAAAAAATGAAAGTATATTCCCGGCACTTATTCAAAATGGCATAGACGTTCTCTTCTCTAGATTTAGTTGTAGACTTTTTTCACAAAGCTTAAAGGGGCTTTGTGTAATCAATACTAAAACTGGTACAATAGGACACTTCTGGCCGCAGTACCGGCTGTTGGACAATGTCATGCTTAAACTTTTAATAATAAAATTAAAA